TTATGGCTCTGTGATAACAGATTTTTCAGAGACAAAAAGGGAGAAGAGCCTTCAGTATTTTTCCTTATAGGTGTGGCTTTGTGTCAAGTTCTCTTGTTCAAACCAAAGGCAATAGTGGAGGAGGGAAGAGATGTGCAAAGTACTCTTCCAACCAGCACAGGAGTTCTCGGCCTCCTTAGCTACGGAGGTTTCATGGGAAAAAGCCCCAAACCTCTGGTTCAAAAAAGTTCAGGTAGCGTTTGTCAATGAAGGGCTCGTGGACCTGAGAACAAATTTTGTCTGATTTCTGAGAATCATCACTCTAAGAGGTCTCATGACATGAATGAGCTAAAAAGAGGGAGAGCTGGAGATTCTGGTCTGAAAATGGGAGCACAGGTGATGTATTGAGGGCAGATACACCCTTCCCAGCTTTGTGTTTTACTGTAAAGCTATGTGAAGTAGGTCATTGGTTCTTCCTTTGACTCCTGCCCGGGGCATTCAGAAAGTGACCAGGCATGCATTCTGAGACCTTCTTATATTTAATACTTGATCATTCTTAACAAAAGAGTACATGGCAGTTCTCCAAGATCTCTTCATATGGCCACTAATTTAAGTTCATTGAATATATATATATATAGTGTCCTCATATCCTCTATCAGATGGAATTAAAGGGTGTAAAGAAAAGAACAGGTATAAGGACTACCTTTATAGAATTTCAACCTAAGTAGCAATTCTATACCTCACTAGATGGAAAAACATTATCATATTAAAGAGACCACTACTAAAATTTCTCTTTAAAAGGGCATATAGTATCTATTTAGGTTAGCGCTTTAATAAATGCTAGAAGGCAGAAAATAAGACCTTTCCCCCAAGGAATCTAGGTGTGGCCTGGATGCTCTGAATGAGAAGGGAGATGTTGTTCATATAGAACATGGACAGAAGCTGAGGGAAATGGTATATTTCTCTAATCCCAGTACTGAAGAGGCTGAGGCAGGAGGATCACAAGGCTACATGCAAGTTCTGGGCTAGCACAGGCTCCATGGAGAGATCCTCTCTCAGAAAAACACAGAAGAAATAGGAAAAGGAAAAGCAATGAGTCTGTCAGATGGTGAAAGCCTCCTGGTTCACAATAATCTGTTCCCTGTGACCCTTCAGAGCTTCAATAGAGGATTCAAACACATAAAATTCTTAGTGTAAGCTTCTTTGGGTCTTGCTTTTGTTTGGTGTAGAAATCAATGAAGAGACAGACCTTGCACAAGAACAGCACAGGGCAGAGCAAGAGGAACCATGGGATCAAAGACTCAGAGGATAAGGAAGAAAATATTTCCAGAAACTCCAGAAATCCTGGGCATCCCGACCCCAACAAACTTTAGAAAAGCAGCATTGTGCCCATATTTGTCTTAATTCCTAAGGATTTCGAATCCTTCATATTTAGTTTCCATATAAACATCATAATTAAAGAATAGCACCAAGTGGATGAGCATTAGGTATAGAAACCTCTGGGCCTGATTTACACATGGTAAGACTAAGTCATGACCAAAGGGCATGATGGGACTAAAGCATCTCTGGACATCAATGAGATGACTTGTGGACTTGAGACCAAACTCATTCTCTTGTTCCATCCAATCAGTCAACAAGAATTTACTGAGGACTTCTGTGCTGAGTACCTAGAGAAAGAGGAGTACTGTTTAAGAGATAGTCTCTGGCCTCCAAGAACCTAGCAGCTCATTGGGGAACTGAGGCTAGTAGAAGCACGTGACATTTATTGATCTCATGATTCTAGGCATTGCTCTGAATGTGTTCTGTACATTTTTGTATTGGCTCATCAGAACAACCCTGTGAACTGAATACTGTCATACTCATTTTACTGATGAGGGAAACTGAGGCCTAAGAGGGTATGAAAGTCTTTCTGAGATATAAATGTATTAATTAGCACCCTCAGATTTGAATCTATCCATCCAAATTCTGCCAGTTAAAATAGTCTCTATTGCAAAGATAATGTTGTCCAGACATAGGATATAAGATATATGACATAAACCACAGGTGCTGCTAGAGTCCTACGGAGAAGGCAGCATGGGACTCAAGTGGTCAGGAGTGGCAGTACTGAGGAAGGAAGAGACGCCTGATTATCAGTCCTGGGCAGGCATGGTGGGTAGCTGAAGCTTCATCAGGAAGGACAGGATAGAGTGGGGCAACTTTGGATGGAAGATGGTGAAGGGATGGGGTGGCCACCACGAGGGCCTCAGACTCAAGATGTCTCCTAGGCTTCAGAGTCTGCCACCACTTTCCTAGTGGGACCTGTCCCTGGAGGCCAAATGACACACCTCAAAATCTACAGTTTTCATCTCACCCAGTTCTGCCAGTGACCTCTTCTAGGACACTACATATACACACCCATTTCCTCAACATAGAATTAGTGAGTCAGGTGAAGTGAACGTTATAATTCCTTTAAGTTTCTTTTTTTTTTTTTTTTTTTTTTTTTTTGTGTGAGTGTATTATCTGCACTGAAGTATACCCATGTCTTGCAGGCCCACAGAGGTCAGAAGAGGGTGTCAGATCCCCTGGAACTGGAGTTATGGACAGTTGTTAGCTGCTAAGCGGGAGAACAAGCATGCGCCACCACGCCCGGCTAAGTTTCTTTCTTTCTTTCTTTTTTTTTTTTTTAAGTCAATGGTTCTGTAACAAAATTCACCAATAGATTTATATGTATCTCAAAATATAAAAAGAAACTTTGGAGTTAATGAAATATCTTTCAAGATTATGGCCAGATTGTCTCAGATCTGGCAGAACTGGCAGAAGCAGGTCATTTATGTTACAGGAAGTGGGCAGCAGATTGACTTCACCCTCCTGAGATCCTGGAAAGACAGAGAGACTTGGTGTTACCATGGGCTTGGGGGTTCAATCGTGTGCCTATAGTTGCTGGTGTCTGTGAATAGGTGGGCCTCAGAGCTGCCAGAAGAAACCCCAGGGGAGAGGAGAGAGGAAGACTTCTGCAAGTCCTAATGAAAGTTTGCTGTCTGTTACCATCCAGGTTTAGAGGCACCACCTTGGGTTTTGGTCTTTTATATTTTTTATTAATCTCATATGAAATTTGGGAGAAATACTATCTTTCAAAGTGATATTGGTGGTTGAAACGTTTGTTCTAAAATTAGATGTTTTAGAAGTTCTCAGAATGCATACATTAGAAGAAGAAAGAGGAAACAGTCTCAAAATAGCAAGAGCTACTAGCACAATTTGCTGGACCAGCTCCACAGTTGATGAAAGAATCTTGGGCTGCCGGCTCTGCTTCTTGTTTCAAAACTGGGGAGGTTTCTCTTTGATTCTCCCGGTATTGACAGTAAAAACCCTAAACCAGTTAGACTCCTTATCAGACCTACACCCCTACACAGAGGGTTCTTGGCCATCATATGACATTCAGAGTCCAGCCTCAGCAGTGATTTCAAATTTTATGTAAAGTCAAAAATCTTTTATAAGCTCTCTGCTTACCTGTTTGTTTTTGAGGCAGCATCTCACTATGTATCCCAGGCTGGCCTTGAACTTGCAATCCTCCTATCCCAGTCTATTGAGTGGTAGGATTACAGGCATGGGCCACCACACCCAGTTCCCCTTATTTTTTGTCAAGATGGCGTGACCATTGACGTGGGTGTTTGGCAGAGATAAAACATGTATAACTTGTAATGAAAAGCATTTATGTGAGATTCCTTGTGATGATGAGGCATATGAAAAGCCTAGGAAGAAAAAGAATCTTTTCCAACCTAGAAAGAAACTACTGAGTGGCTGTCAGACTGGAACCTTTTATCATTTCAAATCTATATTTTCACAAGTTCTATAAACAGCTGAACTGTGTTTGCAATTACTCTCCTTCTTCCTTTGTAACCCATCTATTCCTTCCTTTCAACTTCTGAGATACCCCTCAAGGGTTCAACAACCAGGTTTACTCCACAATGGTCCTTATAAACTACCCTCACACATCAGTGTCCATACCTCCTGGCACATTTGTTTCACCAGCAGCATTAGAACTTAGTGCTGTTACTTAGAACCCTAGTGTTTCAAGCTCAACCTGGCTGCTCATTACGATGGCACAACTCTCTTGAAGACCAAGAGTCTCTGACTCCCAGGCAATAGTCTTTAGTTTTCAGTCACTTCTCCACCTCTAGTTCTTGAAGTTCTTCATGCTGTAGCCTTGCTTACAACATGGAAATAATAAAAGAACATATCCCTTAGGATTATTTGTTGAGGACTAAATGCATTACTACATAAGATTCACTGGCAAAAGCATCCTTCTGCAAATACTCAGTAATTGCCTAATATTACATTAGTGAGCTGCATATCATGTTTGCTGGGACAGTAGGTCCTAGTCACTATCTCCCAGAGCGTTGCCTCTGGTTCAAAAGGATTCAATACAGTGGCCGAAGGACGGAAAGCTACAGAATTTGGTTCTCTGATTTCAAGCCTGAGTTTACCCAGCTAATTTAAAGTATGACCATGACTGACAGGAAAAACTACAGGTTTTTCTTTCAGTTCAGGTCTGGTGGGTTCAACATAGTTATTTGCATTGAAAGGCAATAATAGCACTTTTATGTTTATTTTTTAAGAAGAAAAGCAGATTTCTTTCCACCAGTGTCTCATGGGAGTGGCTGGGGGGCATGGGAATAGCATATGAGACCATCACATCCTTTTTACCAAAAATGGACACAGAATATTTTAGAAATTTTAAGATAGAGAAGCAGGGCAGAGAGACTGCGTTAGGAGAGGCAAAGATAAGTTTAATATTAGACAAGGTGGTAGCTGAAGGGAAAATAAAGCATCTTAGTTAGAAAAATACTTATAAAAAATTAGAAATGTGAAAGTCAGTATAACAAGTGAAATTAGGGTAAGAAAACAGACACAGAAATCTTAGTGGCCTAAAGCTGATCCAAAACCATGTGAACATGTCTCCCTTGGGGGAGACAGCTATAGAAAACAAACACGCGGCTCTATCTTCTCACTTCTGGATGTCTTTACCTCACAGTGCCTTTGAGATTATCCTTTGACAATTTTTTTTCAGAGTCAAGACCATGGATACTGTATGCTGCTGTGCTGGTGTTAGCAGGGATCACAATTATCACCCCAATTCTCACAGCAATGATAATGCTGAGAAGGAGAGGTAGGTGTTTGACAGTAAGACAGTTCTTGACTCCCTGTGGTAAGCAGAGTAGTTCTTACCATAAGCATAGCCTTGTTCTTGACACTTTAACTTTCTGACTAGGGCTCCCTCTGAAAAATACTAAATAAACTTATCTTGGGCCCTTACTCAATTCAACCTAATTCTAATATGTTGAATGAGACTAAGCAAGTAAGTAAAGAGCCTCAAGTTTCTAATGTAGGAGACCTTATACCGATAATTTAAATTCAGCACTGCAGTTTAGCTTGTACAGGAGGCTAAAGCTGTCCAATCAGAAGGCTTACCAGTATTTACAAGGAATAATTCAGAGAATTCTTGGGTCTCCTACATAGAGTGCTCCAGAGTAGATTAAAACTGCTAAGGTGCAACGATTGCTCTGCAGTTTCAGGGCTCAGCAGTAGTAACTTCTGGTCTTTCTTCCAAATTGTCCTGATTCAGTATCTCAGAGCAATGTGCCCTCTCAGACATACTGACTACCACTCACCCATCTTGGGTCATAATGCCCTGGCTCAAGACCAAGACAGATGCCCTGACTGCTCTCCCATGGGGAGAGCAGACCTTGATGCACATCTTACCAAGCCAACGTTTTATCTCACCCTCAAGCAGAACAATGTTATCCACACACAATCTTCTTAGGAAAGCCCTTACCTCAGCACAGTGATGTTGGTTTAGCTTAAATAAGAAAATCTAGATCACAGTGCAGATTCTTGCTTTTGTCTCATTTCCTCTGTCTAAGAGTTCACTGGGGAGGAGATGGGGGAGGGGTCTGTGATTCAGATAGAAATTCTGTTGAGAGCATGTGGGTCTGGGAGTGGAGTAGCCACAATTAGCTTCCTTTATAAGAAAACAGTGAGGGGGCTGAAGAGATGGCTTATCGGGTAAGAGCACTAGTTGTTCTTACAGAGGACCCAGGTTTAGTTCCCAGCACCCACATGGTAGCTAACAACCATCCATAACTAGCTCCAGTTCCAGGGGATCTGATGCCCTCTTCTGACCTCCTCAAGCATTAACAAGGGTGCACTTACACACATGCAAGCAATACACCGATACACATAAAATAAAAATAATAAATAAAATATTTTTTAAAAGAAAACAGTGGAGGCTGGAGAGATGGCTCAGCAGTTAAGAACACTGGTTGTTCTTGCAGAAGACCCGGGTTCTATTCCCAGCACCCACATGGCAGCTAACAACTGTCTGTAACTCCAGTCCCAGGGGATCCAACAGCCTCTTCTGAGCTCTGTGGGCATTGCATGACATGGGTGCACTTACCTACATGCAGGCAACACATGCATACACATAAAATTTTTAAATATTTAAAAAAAAGAAAACAGTGAGCTATGAAGGATGAAGAAACAGATTAAGCTACCCACATTAGCCCAGCTGGCAGAGGTGTTGGTACCACCCATTCTTTCCTCAGTTGCATTCTGCTTAGCACATGGCTGAGCTCTGAGAGAGCAGTCCTTTGCATCCCACCGAAGTTCCCTCCCACCTCTCCCCAAACACATACCCATCATTTCCAGCCACCATTTATTCCTTGTAAGTCAGCTACACACAAACCTGCCTCAGACCTGTCCCCAAATCTACATTTGGCTGCTACATTCTTCACAAAATATTGCTCAAGAGATTCTGTTGGCAACTTCTAGAGGTATCGTCTCCAGAATACAGCTTGCCTAAGGATTTTCAGATCGACTCTGGAAAGTTCAGCTTCAGGAGAATCTACTAGTTAGGAGCATAGGCAGTGCTCAGTGAGGCGAGTGTGTAGTGCCTGCTACTTGGAAAGCAGAGGCAGAGGTAGGAGGCTCAGCCTAGCCAATGAGTTCTACATCAGCCCTGAGCAACACAGGTAGACTCTATCCCAAAACAAACAAATGAAAGCATGACTTTGGCATCAGAGAACATTCACATGCCAACTTTGCCACCTGTGAGTTGTATAACCAAGTAAATTTCTCACCATCTGCAAAAAGGGGATATTATGTCGTCCTTTGTGGTATTGCTGTGGAGATTGGTAAGCCAATACACAAAAAGCACCAGGCATAGTGGTTTTCCTGGATGGCACATATAAATACCCATACATATATAGTCAGATAACTATCTCGATGTGAGTTAAACTATTAATGCTTAAGTTCTAAGGCTAGCAGAGGGCTGTATTAGAAGAATCTAGAAATGCTACTTAGAGCAGGTTTCAAGTACTTGAAGTTATGATCTCACAAGACAGCTTTTAACTTCATGTAATTAACTGAAGAAAACATTAAGCAGTCTATACTCTCATTTTACAACTATGGTAAGAGAAGCAACTCATTGAGATGACTTGATTTGCCACATAGCAAAGTCTAATGCTAATTCTAAGCTAAGCTCTAAGACTCAGATTTTTTTCATTGCACCCAAGATTTTTCTGACCTTGAGCCAAATTGAACTGGCTCCTAATAACCTTTTCCTGTACTATGGAGGGAAAAAGAGAAAGACTAAATTATTGATCCAGTGGAATTTTTTAACTTAGCTTCATATTTTTAAAAAATCTGTCTGGCCATTTGGACTGTCCTCCGAATTCTAACCTTCTTTCCGATCTGACATGCAAGATTGAAAGTCCGTGAGGACTAACATCTGTTCTCTATTTGTATCCCTGACTATACTGAGGAAGGTGCTGGGCAAGCGTTTCTAACTTTGCAAACACTGACGGATGTAAATTGAAAGAGTTTGCTTCATAGAACTATTTTAAACCTTCTGCCACCTTCCACCATTTCTGGTCACTGCTGAGCCCTGTCCTCCATCTCTTTCTTTGCCTTTCTCTGTGTGATTCTGCTATCTCTGTCTTCTCTGTCTCTCTCTCTCTCTCTCTCTCTCTCTCTCTCTCTCTCTCTCTCTCCAAGGAATTCCTTGAACTTCCCCAGTAACTGGCCATCATTTCCTCACCAAAAATCACACTCTCATAAAAACCTCACACCATACTCATGTCATACATTCCAGTCTTTCTCTTCCAAAGAAAAGTATACGTCTCAGAGCTATTCCCTCAGTGATGTGCTCCCAGCTTTTTAAGAGGACAAATTAATTAGTTTTAAAAAGGAGTTTACCTCAAAGACTATGATTTCTTCTGAACTAAGCCCTTTCCCTTGTCTTGGTTTACATCTTGCAGAAATCCCATGAAAGTTCTCCATGGTTCAGTCTCCTATCTTTCCGCTATCCTCACTGTTGCATGATGTATGCAAGGGAAACCATACTATGTTAGAAAGAATGAATAGGTCTAGTGCACTAGCATGAAAAGTGTTCTTCTAAACATATTTTAAGAGAAATGTGTAGGACTGGAGAGATGGCTCAGCCGTTAAGAAGAGCACTGGTTGCTCTTGCAGAGGACCTGCGTTCAATTACCAGCACCCACATGGTGGCTAACAGTCATCCATAACTGCAGTTCCAGGAGATCTGACACCTTCTTCTGACCTCCTAGGGCATTGCATGACATGGGTGCACTTATACACATGCAGGCAAAACACTCATACACATAAATTTTTTTAAAAAAAAACTTTTTTAAAAAAGAGAAATGTGTGTAGAATGGCACCGTTTGTGCATAAAAGAGAAAAACCTACAGAAATACAGCAAATATCAAAAGCTGGGCATGGTGTCACATGCCTTAATCCCAGCACTTGGGAGGCAGAGGCAGGCCGATGGATCTCTGTGAGATTCAGGCCAACCTGGTCTACCTAGGGAGTTGCAGGCCAGTGGGGGCTACAGAGAGACCCTGTCTCAAAAGAAAACAAAACAAAGCAAAACAATAAAATTCATTTCTTCTGGAAATCAAATAGGACTGGTTAATGAAGGAGAGGGAGTTATATTTTTTTTTGTATATTTCTACACAGCTTGAACTTTTATGATAGGAATGAGTTGCTTTATAATTTAAAACAAAATCTTTAATCATTGGCTAAACATTAAAAATGTTTACAACTCATTAATCTACAGAGGCCTCCAGGCCCTGAGTAAATTTTCCAGACTGTGAGCAAAATCCTGACATTGCAGCGCTGTTTTCCAAATAGTCCCAAGTGCACCATCCGTTCATACCACCATCCCATACACACAGCGAGTCCTCTAGAAATAGGGTGATGAGAAAGCTGTGAGTGAAGAAGCCTGTTGCCAGCTGGAGAAAAAGCAAGCTTTAAATAACCAGCCCTGGCCCCAGAGAACCTAGAATCCTACGAGGAGAGAAGATATGTACAAAAAAGTAGTAGAAATTAAGATAACTGAGTGGTACACTGAAGAGATTAACACCCAGAGCTGGAGTCACCTCATCCGCCTATGATTCTGGCAATTGGAAGAATGACACAAAGTGAATCATGAGTTTGAGGCCAGTTTGGGCTACAGAGTGAGACCCTGTCTCAGAAGAAAAAGAGGAGGGGGCAGTGGAGGCTGAGAAGGGAGAGAAAGGGAGAGAGGGAGCAAGGGAGGGAGGGATAGATATTGAGAGAAATACTTGGCACATACTGGGCATTTACTATGTGGTAGGCACTGTTGTAAATACTTTTTAAGTGCTATTTAATTACTATAATAGCTCTATGAAATAGTTGTTTCAAATTCCATTTGATAGGTAGGGAAACAGGTCTAGAAAGAATAAGTAACTAATCCAAAGCCATATGCCAAAGTAGAACTAAGTACCTTGTTCCTATGGCACTTTGGGGAAGGTAAGTACACACTAAAGACAGAGAGTTAGAGCAGGGGGCTAATGCTGGAGACCAGAGGAAGATAATCACTGTTTCTTTTTTTCCAGGTAAAGAAAATCATTGCCAGCCAATAGTGGAAGACAAAGGCCTTACTATTTATGCCCAAGTCCAGAAGTCAAGTGTAAGTTCTATGTCTTTCTAAGAGCACGTCTGACATATTCACCATTAGATTCCCAAATAGTCCATCTTACATTCATGGCTTTGCATGGGTCCCAGAGTAGATGAAACTAGGGGAACAGAAGTCAAGGACAAGAGCTCGCCTAAAGGTTACTCAGCCGGCATCACTGGGACTCTATTGCTTGAAATAATGGGAAATACTGGGTAATCTGATTATCTGTGTCTTCATAGTAATACAATGAAATGGTAAACACATGACATATGACTCTTTCTAGCTCTGACATTCTAGGAGTCCACACTTCCTGTTACCATGAAGGCTTGGGCAAGAGGGGAAGGCTTGGAAAAGCCATTGTGTGGCATGCTGGCCCCATTCAAGTTTAGGTTTCTGCAAAGTACAAGTAGGATAAGAAACGGAGGAGTCTGAGAATTCTGGCGAGATTGGGCCTAAGATGAAAGATGATATGCTGATGGGAGGTGGAAGAAAGCGAAACTGAGTTAGCATGATCACTGAATTAAAAAGAGTGTGATAGAAAAACAAGACAAGATGAAGCCGAGGAGCAGATACAGCAGCAGTGAGAGGAAGGGAGGCTAAAGGATTGTGGGTAGATATGAGATAGATGTAGTTAACTCTAGGTTAGAATCTGGCCATTTAGGATATGGGAGAAGCAGATTCTGGAGTAAAAGATATGAAGGTAAAAATAGTTTAAATGGTTCTTCAGAAAACTGCATCAGATTACAATAAATTCACTTGTGAGGGCCAGGAGACAGTCTTGAACAAAGCTCTCATTTCTGGTGCCTTGTAAGTGATCTGGAGGGTTTATTACACCATTACACCATTTATAGTCCCCCTGTTGAAAACAAATCTGTTTAAACATATGAAACCCATAGGTACCCTTTCACCCTTGCATTTAAATATTTAGGTAATGTGGTTCATCTTGCTATTGGTGTCTTCCTTAGCCACTATATCTCATGTTGCTAGCATCTTTTTTTTTTATTGTGAAGTATGACATATATACAAAAAAATCCACAATGCGGAGCTGAAGAGATGGCCCAGTGGTTAAGAACACTGGTTGTTCTTGCAGAAGACCCAGATTCGAATCCCAGAACCCACATGGCAGCTAACAGCTGTCCGTAACTCTAGTCCCAGGGGATCTGACAAGGCATTGCATGACATGGGTGCACTTTCCCAGGCAGGCAATACACGCATACACATAAAAAAATTTTTTAAATAAATAAAAATTTTAAAAATCCACAATACACATACATGTTCACTTAGCTGAGGCTGAGTGTGTTATTTTAGAATCAGGTTCTCAAGTACTACAAAAAAAATGAGGATCAGATCAAATCTACTGACCTACTTGAGAAGAAATTGCACCTTTCAGTTGAGTCTTCTACATAAAATCACCATGCCGATGAAGCAAGAGAGGATAGCCAATTCCTCCAGAAAACTTCCAGTCACAATTCCCTCTCTACTCCCAAAGATACCCACTACCCTAGCTTATAGAAATATGGTTTAGTTTTTTCTTTTCTTGAATTTATAAAGATAGAATTCAGTATTTTTCTTCTTGCGTCTGCTTATGAGATTCATACATGTCTTTGAACTTAGAACAAATTCATTGCTTTATAGACTTATCAATACATGAATATGCTCTCGTAGAATTTATCCAGCTCACTATTGATGAGCATCTGGGTTATTTCCAGTTCGAGGTCATTATGAAAATTACACCTATGAGCATTCATATGAATATCTTCTCATGACTATGTGCACATATTTTTGTTCATACATATTACCTAGAGGTAGATTTGATGAATGATAGAGGTGTATGTTCTCATATTGACAGGTTAAGAACAAATTGTTCTTCAAAGTGGGCATATCAGTTTACTTTTCTAATAAATGAATTTAAATTGTTGCACAGGCTAACCAAAATTCATTATTATCGGTCTTTTTAATTTCAGTCATACTGCTGGATGTCTTCTTATGGTTTTAGAGTTTTTCTAAAAACAACTTTTCATATGCTTATTAGCCATATTAAACTCATCTTTCTTACGCTGACTATTCAATCTCTTGCCCATTTAGTCTTTAGTTTTAGGCCTTTTAAATGAATGTAGTATGAGTCAAAAAGTCATTTTAAGAAATGAGCCCTTTTGAGATCAGATCCATGCCATCTGTGACTTGCCTTTGTAACTGCTCAGAGAGACCTATGGATTGAGAAGTTCTTCGTTTCATGTTAGAACAATTTAGTAGCTCCTTCCTTTCTAGTTACTACTTTTCATAACCTGTTTAAGAAGCTTTTCTCTATCCCCAGGTAACAAAGTAATAAAAATATTCTCTTATCATCTTCTTTCACGGGTATTTACTACATACCTGAAACCCATTTCTTAGTTTTATTTAAGAGGGGTCAAGTTTCATTGTTTTCATGTGAATAGTCTGTTGGCCATTTATTGCAGAGCTTGTTCTTGCCCCACTGGGATGCCATCTTTACATACACTGACAGTCCATATATGTACAATTCTATTTTGATGTTTACAGTCTGCTGCATTGGCTAGTGACATTGCTGTCTTGAGTACAGACCTATCATAAACTTTTATATCTGACAGAAGGGAGTGTTCCATTTGTTCTTTTTCTTGATAGATATATCCCAAAATAAGTTGTTAAACCCCTCTAACTGAATCTTCCTAGAATTTTAATTAGGACTGCATAAACCAAATTGAGGAGAGCATACATCTTTATTGGGTTGAGTCTTTCAATTCACACACACAAAAAGTCGGTATCTTCCTTCCTGTCTTTGGATTTTTAAAATTCCTCCAAATGATGTTTTATAGTTTTCTGAATAAGACAACTCTGTATCATTATAATTTACTGGTTTCCATTTTATATTTTGGAATATTATCATCAATGTTAACTTTTCAAAATTTTTGGTTTTTAATTATTGACTATTGACACATAGAAAAATAACTTTTGTGGGTTGGAGAGGTGACTCAGCAGTTAAAAGCACTGACTGCTCTTGCAGGGGACCCAGGTTTGATTCCTAGCACTCATGGTGGCTGACAATTGTTCATAACTCCAGTTCCAGGGGAATCCAATGCCCTCTTGACCTCTGGCATTGCATGACAACGGTGTACTTTACACACATGCAGGCAATGCACTGATACACATAAAATAAAAATTATAAGTACAATTTTTTTAAAAAGTAGCTTTTGTTTATCAACTCTGTATTTGCAGCATGGTTGAATTCATTTCTAAGTTCTAGTATTTCATTACAGATGACTTGGTTTTCTTTGTATTTGTATCATCTGTAAAGAATTAGCAATTAAGAGCTTTTTTCACTTACAAATTACAGAACTTTTCTTGCTTTCTTTTGCCTATTTTCCTGGCTGAAATTTCCCACATGATGGTGAACAGACATGGCAGTGCGTGCCTGTAATCCTAACAATTGGGAGACAATGGCAGGTGGATGCCAAATCCAGGGCTAGCCTGGGTTATGTAACAAGTGTCAGGCCAGGCCACCAAGAGCTACCTAATGAGACCCTGTTTCAAATGTCAAAGGAAAATAAACCAAAGAGAATATTATCTGCAGCTAGGGATATGACTCCGTGATAGAGTGCCTGCTAGCATGCATGAGACTCTGGGTTCGGTTCCAGCACTGGAAAGGAAAAAAAAAACAACTACTGTCCTTTATCCTCTCTTCCTGGTTTGCGAGATGACATTTTATCAATATTCTTCCTGCATCTGCTAAGATAATTTTGAGGTTGGTTTGCGCCTCATCTATCCACTGCTATAGTGAGAGTTACACTGGCTCATAAAGGTCACACCTTCTTTGCATTCCTGGAGTAAAATCAATTTAATATGATCTTTAAAACTATTGTTGGGTTTTATTTTCTTAATATTTTATTAAAAGTTTTTTCCACTTAGGTTTCTGAGTGAAACTGGCCTGTGATCCTCTTCTTGCGTAATGACTGTGAGGTTTCGGTATCAAGATTATGCTGACCTCACAAGATAGTTGAGGTTCTTGCTGTTTTCCTCAGGCTGCCATAACAAATTATTACAACTTGGTGGCTTGAACAACGGAAAATTATTTTCTTACATTCTGGAGGTCAGAACTGGCCTTTGGCTGTATTGCCATTTCTACCTCCATCCCCACATAACTTTCCTCTGTTTATGCCACTGTCTTCTCCTTCCCATTTCTGAGGACAGTCAGCACTGGATGAAGAGGCCACACTGATCCAGGGTGACCTCACTCTGAAGTTCTTACTGTGATTACATCTGCAAAGGCAGGTGTAATTCCAAATAAAGGCATGCACTATCTCTTGTGGCACGTATCTTTCAGGAGCCATAGTTCAGCTCACTATGGGATGCATTTTCTTTCCATGATTCTCTAGAATATCTGGGTATGATTGATCTTATTTCTCCTTTAAATATTCGGCAAAACTTTTTAGTAAAAGTCTCTGAGGTTTGAGCTTCTTTGGTAAAGGATTTTTAAAAAATTAAAACAGTATTTTTATGATTCCATTTTCTTCTCTATTACATTAGTGATCAACTAACAACTTTCTCTATTTTTAGTGGTTACCTTAGAATTTATAAAGTGCATCCATTACTTATTAACGTCTAATATCTCTTTATTGTTTTTTTTAAATATTTATCTATTGGGGGGACTGGAGAGATGGCTCAGCAGTTAAGAGCACTGACTGCTCTTGCAGAGGACCCAGGTTCAATTCCCAGCACCCACATGGAGGCTAACAACTGTCCTCACTCAAGTTCCAAGGGATCCAGCGCCTTCTTCTGACCTCAATGGGCATTACACGACATGGGTGCACTTACACATATGCAGGCAATACACCCATAGACATTTTTTAAAAAGATTTATTTTTATCTTTGATGTGTAAGAGCATTTTTCTTGCATGTGTGTATGTGCACCACATGCATACCTGGTGCCTGTGGGAGGCCAGAAGAAGGTATCAGATCCCCTGGAACTGGAGTTACAGCCAGTTGTAAGCTGCCATGTGACAGCTGGGAACCAAACCCAGATCCTCTGTAAGAATAGTAAATGTTCTTAACATTGAAACATTTCTCCAGACCTCTCTGTATTCTTTATCCAACACCACTGTAATTTTACCTCCTGATTTATGTGCATTTTGGGTTGTTATTTTAATGTGGATGTATTTTAAATATATGACATAATTATTAATGTTTTATATGCCCATATGCAAGTAGAATTACAGATTTACCTTCTTCTTACAATATTCTCTGTTTTTGTTATTGTGCCTATATCACATCATTTTAAAGACCATCTAACATAGTTATTAAAAAATTAGCATTTATATTGTTTTTATTTGTAATGACTATATGATATCTTTATTTTTTAATATTTTATTTATTATCTTTATTTTATGTGTATGAGTGTTATGCCTGCATGTAAGTAAGTGCACCTGTGTCATGCAGTGCCCACAGAGGACAGAAGAGGCTATCAGATCCCCTGGAACTGGAGTTATAGACAGTTGTTAGCTGCCATGTGGGTGCTGGGATTCAAACCCGGGTCTTCTGCAAGAACAGTCAGTGTTCTTAACTGCTGAGCGATCTCTCTGGCCCCAACTATACAATATCTTTATAAAGAACATAATAACATGGAAATTATTTAACAACTGTTGATTATCTGCTAGGAACTGTTCCAGGACTTATAAGGGCTCCTTTCTTACACCATTAATTCCAGAGGCCATGATTCACAAATAATATGCAAAAACAATGTGCGCTCCTGAAGTTGCTCGTATGTGAATCCCTGGAGATGTAAAAATCCATGACTCTAGCTGAAGACATCAAGACACAAAAATACTAAATGCTAAGCTATTAAAATTATGTTTAAAATAATTCCCTGTGCCTAAAGGGAAATCTAACAGCACAATCCCAGTACAGCTTTAGGTGATATTTAGTAGTTTTCTTATTTCTAAAACTTCCCTATTGAATGCTGCAAGTATAAATTATTTGCCCCAATCCCTGCCTTTAGATTATATTGGATCATACTATATTCTTTCAGACAAAAAAGAGAGAGAGAAGGCTTGCATCTATGAATATAGCTTGCTCAATAAACTGTTTTTATCTACTCATCCATCCTATTGCTATTGGAAAGACTTTATTAAATTCAATTTTTCTCCAAGAGTTTTCTCTAAGAGTTGTACAGGAATTGTGAGAAAGACATTGAAAACACTTGTGAAAAACTAAGTGATAGGAGCTGCCTTGTGTGAATCCCAACATATCACTCAGAGGGTGCTCAAAAAGTTGGGGAAAGAAAGCTGAGGGGATTCTCACCGGGAAGACATTAGAGCAAGTGACTAAGGTGGTTTCTAACTGAACTTCTTAAATCTGGGCTTCTCTGTGGGGCGAGCTGGATGGAACCCAGCTCTCTGCTCAGCTAATTTGCTTTCTTTGCTTCTCTTTGCAGCCTCTTGAGATGAAGCCTGATGATGCCCTGTCAGATCAGGACCCCTGTACAACCATCTATGTGGATGCCATAGAGCCTGTCCCAGAGCCTGTACAGGTCAGGCATCTCTCTATATGTCCTCATTGTGGATGTGGGAGAGGTGGTGGAGAGGAAGGAAAGGTTGTTTGTTTTGTTTTTGTAGAGATATAAGGAAACAGACTGGTGAGTTACAGACTAGGAAAGTGGTCAAGAGCAAGTAGGCAGCAACAGGTGCAGCTTGGGTTTGGGTTTACACAAAATCCATCATGGGAGACTGGTGAGATGGCTCAGCAGTTAAAAGCACTGGCTGCTCTTGCAGAGGACCTGGGTTCAGTTTCCAACACCCACATGGCAGCTAACAATCATCTATAACTCCACTTCCAAGAGATCTGATGCCCTCTTCTGACCTCTGCGGGCATTGCACGACACAGGTGCATTTACACACATGCAGGCAATACTCATATACATAAAATAGAAATAATAAATAAAACATTTTTTTAAAAAAACAAAACCCACTATGCCCCCTTACATGGAATAAGCTGTTGCTCACTCCTTACTGGCTAGTGTTTCTCTGGCAGGCATCCAAGGATCACATCCAAAATACCTAGCATACTTGTTAAAAATAAAGATTTCTAGGACCTCCTATCTAAGACTCAGTTAAATCAGGACAGGCCATGATCGTCTGTGTCTTCCTCACCATGATATACTGAATCCTTTGAAACTGTAAGCCAAAAATAAATCTTTCCTTCTTTAAATCTTAAATATTTTGGTCACAGCAATATAAAAATAACTAACCAACACCCCATAGGGCAAAGAGAGTCAGAGAAAAAAAAAACAAACAAGAAATCTCACATCATGGTAGATAGGAAAAACAGTAAAGGGGAATACCAGAATGCCAACACAACATATATTCTCTCCCAAAGAGACAGCCTGAGTGGGCCACTTCCTCCAAAGAGGCCCCATCACCTACCTCTCACCACTTCCCAACAATACCATTATGCTATGAATACATCATGGATTAGGAACCTGTTGATTAGGTCAGAGCCCTCATGCTCTGTTCCTGGAAATACCCTCATAGACACACCCTGAGGTATGCCTTACCAATCTCCCAGGCATCTCTTACTTCAATCAAGCTGACAGCTAACAGTAACCATCACTGAGGTCTTTACCAACAATCTTTTTCTCCCCTTCTTCCTTCCTTCTCTCCCATTAGTACCACTTCTATTACATTTGGATTTTGCAAGCCCCTTTCAAAACTCAATAATTTAGACCTTTCTTGTCCTCTCCAAACTGTGCCCCAGGAGTTTAAATGGTTTTACTTGGAAGGAAGGATAGGGGAAGGGAGGGGGAAAAGGAGGGGAGGGAGAGAAAAGGAAGATAATGACAAGGACAGTCTTCAGATAACTGGGGACAGGTCTCCCAACTCCCTGATGGTATGTTTTTGCTTGGACAGGAGCTATAGCCCCGTTTTCAGGTAAGGTACTTGGAGACCTGACTGCTGCCTCTACAATGTCTAACTGTGACAGACTGGGCATATTGCCATGCTATGTGCACTCTAGGACTTCCCTTCTAAAGAATGCTGCTTCTGTCACACCCGGTGAAACTGCTGCCCCATTCCTTCACTCATGAACTCCTTATTTCCCACAGGAATCAAAACCCATCACAGTCTATGCCAACGTGACCCTCCCAGAGAGCTGACCCCACAGACCCAGTGAAGGGGCTTTTTGAAGGAAGATGGAAGAATCAAAATAAGCACTGAACTTGTCCCCAAGTTCCAAGTTCTCTGCACATCTGTACCCTTCTCCAATCAGCTCCCTGTTGACACATCTACATACACCTGTGAAGTGGACAAGGAAGTGAGGCTTCCTAAGCACTTAACCCGCTCTGCCGCTGGCACAGACACAACATAGACAGCCACTTGATACAGCATTCTGTCTTTTGTGTAGCAGACAATATGGATAATGAGTTTACACCTCTTCCTCTGCTGGGTTGGATAATAAACCCTCAAACAGAAAGCCAGGACGTATTGCACCTATCTCAGACGGCTGAAGGCAAGCCACAAAGTCTGGAAATGTTTACATTTTGACTGTCTCTACTTTATTCTTGCAGCTGATCACCTAAAAACTTGATCGAGGCTCTGTGCCTTGGTTTCTTGTTCTCTGGATGAAGAGTGAAAGAAGGTTGAAGAATGAATTTTTATTATTTGTAAAACAGTCGGATTGTTTTCTAAAAGAAGCTAAAAGAATCAATATTTTATTTGCAGAACTCAAGCTAGTAAGTCAATAAACTGAAATGACTTTGGAATCTCTGAGCTTTGAACAGTAGAATGGAAGCCAAGATTCTTTATAGTTCTCTGCAAGCAGCATTTGGTTTTAAAGTGGCAACCGCCTGGTAATGCTGTGATAGAGTAACCTGGGATCCTCAGAGGAACTTGTCCCAGAGAGATTTTTTCACTTCTCCAAAGGACTTTTGAATCTTAAATTTCCTATTTACTCTCTTGAGTGATGAACGTGGAGCCTCAGTGCTGTTTCTCTCCCCCTTGGTTCTAACCCCATTTTATAGCCCAGGCCTTCTGTGCAATTGCAAATCGGAGTCTCTACCAGGCATGTCCATTCTTTTCATACCTCTCTTTATACTAAATTTATCTTCAAGAAGAAAATTAAATTATTGTGATTGAACAGTTTCAAATGATTAAGAAAGAGTCTCTGTAAGAAAAGTTCTGTTTTCTTCTTACTGCCTGCCCTTAGATAGGGCAGGTTTCAACGTCAACTCTTCTTTTCCTTCTTGTACAACCTTGATGAATACTTTAAGAAATAATTATTTGGGGCTGGGAAGATGGGTAAGACACTTGCTCTGCAAGCATGAAGACCTGAATTTGGGTCCCTGGTACTCACATAAAAAGCCAGGCATGGCTGGATATATCTGTAACCCTGGTATTGGGGGGTAGAAACAGGTGGATTTTGAGAGATCACTGGTCAGCTAGCCTAACCTAAGTAGCTATCTTCCAGTTCAGTGAGACTGTCTCAAAGCAACAAGACAGAGTGACAGAGGAAGATACTGACACCCTCTTCTGGCCTCTTGAGCACACTCACCTGCACATTCATGTGTGTGTGTGTGTGTGAGAGAGAGAGAGAGAGAGAGAGAGAGAGAGATCCATTGTATCACTGCATAACAAACACCAATTGCCCAGTTCAAAACTCTGATGCCCCATTGTCTTGTATCTTACCTCCTGTCTTCACCCAATTCATAGTTCTATGGCTCAGTGAATCCCATTTCTTGGTGCCAAAAAAGAAACCTATTGAAAATACATCAGTTGGGCCAAGCTTGGTGGTATACACCTTTAATTCCAGCATTTGGGAGGCAGAGGCAGGTAGATCTCTGTGGGATTAAGGCCAGCTGGGGCTATAGGGAGACCCTGTTGAGAGAGAGAGAGAGAGAGAGAGAGAGAGAGAGAGAGAGAGAGAGAGAGAGAGAGATCCAAGGAGGAAAAGAAGGAAGGAAGGAAGGAAGGAAGGAAGGAAGGAAGGAAGGAAGGAAGGAAGGAAGGAAGGAAGGAAATATACTAGTTGAGTCAAACAACTACTAGGATGATTCTATAGAAAATTTCCTTGAACATGAGACACACATAGAGGAAGAATAGGCTGTGGTGAGGACCACAGCCAACATGTCAAGCTAGTCTAGGGATTTTGATATTGGGCAGCACAGGTCGTGATCACCGTCTCCAGCACTAGGTATGCATTCCACCACAGCCCACTGCCTCTGCTGCACTTAGAAACATTATATTGCTGTTACTATTGCATTGTCCACCACCAAAATGAATGTTCCAGGATCCCTTATTCATCTTTTCATCTCTAGCTTCCAATTCAAAATTTGAGACTTTGGAGTGGCCAGTCTAGATCACATGCCTGTGTCCTGCTTCCAGGGGAGGCCATGAATTGGCTATCTGGCAGTTTCTACTTTGGTAGTGTGGGTAGACTCTACCTTTTATGAATTACGAAGTTCCCCAAATAGAAGAAGTGAGGCTTTGGTGTTGGACCTGCCAGAAAATGTCTACTTGATCACCCTTGTATAACCTTAGGTTTATTAGCTGTCTATTCTTTTTGTTTTAATAATATTTTATTAATTCTGTGAAAATTTCATACATGTATACTACATATTTTGATCTCATCTACCCCTCCCCTCACTATCATCCTCCAGCTCCCCTTGGGACCCACATCTCCCTCCTGACTTTATTATTATTATTATTATTATTATTATTATTATATTATCATTATTATTATTATTATTGTCTCAAGTGTAGTTAGTGCTAAGCATGTGAGAATGGGTATGGGGCCATCCACTGGAGCGTCATCATGACCAATCTACCAATGGCTACCTCCCTCTAGAAAAGTGACTCTCCCCCTCAGTAGCCATCAACTGTCTATAACTCCTCTGCTAGAGGTAGGGCCTTGGGAGCATCTCCCTGATCCATGCTGGAATTCTGACTAGCTTGATCTTGTGCAGGTCTTATGCAGGCAACCACAGCTACTGTGTGTTGATGTATGCATCAGCTGTGTCGTGTTCAGAAAAGCAGCTGTCTACTCTTAAAACTATAGGGCTACGGGGCTGGAGAGATGGCTCAGCGGTTAAGAACACTGACTGTTCTTTGCAGAAGACCCGGGATAGAATCCCAGAACTCACATGGCAGCTAACAGCTTTCCATAACTCCAGTCCCAGGGGATCAGACAGCCTCTTCTGACCTCCGCGGGCATTGCACGACACGAGTACACTTACCTACATGCAGGCAATACACGCATACACATAAAAACAGTAACTAAAATTTTTTTAAAAAAAAAAATGTGGGGCAACTGCCAGAGATTTATAAAGTCATGGATTCTCAGTGATTTACTACAATTAAAATTGCTTTAGAAGCTCAGCTCCTAACACTTGGATTTTTCCTTGGGTGATTTTACCTGATAGAAAGACTGAAACAAAAGGGGAAGGAGCAGCTGTTCCCCAGATTTCCTGAATCCCTAGGCTCCAGACCTCCCGGAGGAAGGAGGGTGTGTCCTAGATGGTGTCTTTCACGCCACCCATCCAACAGTGCTTGACCTTCTGCCTGCAACCCTGAGCCCTTTTTGCAGGTGAGAAGGTAGAGAGAATCCTTCGGTGCCATAGATGTTCGCCTTGTGCTGCTTTAGTTTTCTGGACATGGCACCGTGGGTGGGCCGGAGCTCAGCTTCTCGTCAGGCTGACAGTATCAGAGCTGAGACTACCGAGTCAGAATTCCCCATGTTGCTCCTCCAATGTTGTTTTCTTTTGACTAAGCATATCTGAATTCTGGAGAAGTCAGGAGGAACAGACTCATTCTCGGTTTTAAGGGACTAATGCTTTGAAGCCTGGGTGGAGTCCTGAGCTTATTTAGGAGTCACACAGCCTGTTGTGATGGTTACAGGGTGCACATATTGGCTGGGAAGACACTGGGTGCTTGTTCTCCTCCTAAAATTTATGCTTCTGATATTTTTTTAAAAAAAACAAAATGTTTGGGGCTGGGAAAGACAGTTTAGTGGTTAAGAGCGTTGGCTATTCTTGTGAAGAACCTGGGTTCAATTCCCAGCATCCACATGGCGGCTAACAATCATCCATAATTCCAGTTCCAGAGGATCCAACACCTTCTACTATGTTCCATGGGCACTGTAAAACATGGGTGCACTTATATACATGCAAGCAATACACTCATACACTAAAATAATTTTTTTTAAAAATTGTCTTGCTATATAGCCCAGGGCTGACCTTGAACTCACAGTCCTGCTGCCTTAGCTTCCCAAGTGCTGGGATTGCAGGTATATGTCACCACACCAAGTTTATGTTTCCACTTTGGAGAAATGAGTGAAATATAGACAACCCACCAAGAAAAGCTTACTTCAACCTTGGGTTTCCTGGAGGACTTTTAGTATGGCAGTTTGACTGGATCTTTCCATGGCCTGTGTCTCCACAGCTTTGGCTTATGGACAAGAAAGGTGGTTGCTTTGATCATATGCGTTGTGAGGATTTTCCCTTCCCAAGGGGGTGAACAAGAGTGAGCTCAGCACCTTCCTCTCCACCAAAGCTAAGGATTCCACCCTCCTCACCAAGGATCGGGATCTAAAGGCTATTTGATTTTTGTCACTTCCAGAGTAATCTTCTCTGAGCTTCCCCAAAATCCCCTTGTAGAGAAATCGGGAGCTAGATTTCTGAACTGTGACTCCGCTGACTTCTAGGGCTGGGCAAGTTTTTTTGTCATGATGAACTGTTGTTCCATTCTTTGAAGAATATTTACCAGCATACTTGCCCTCTGCCCACTAGGTGTCAGTAGCACATCTTCTATCCTGGATCTCCATAAGATGAGATGTAGCTCAGTGGTAAGGAAACTGCCGGGTAACGTGGGAGGTCCTGGGTCTCAAACCCAGCACTGAAAAAAGAAAAGAGTCCCCAGACATTGCCAAATTTTGCCAGGTGGTCAAATCTCCAGTTGAAAACCGCTGACCTAGAGCTATTTTAGCCTTTTAGTTAGTTCTGAATACACTAAATACACTTCTGTTACCAAGAAGTAGATCTATCAAAAATCGTATTCTGAAAGTGGCCATTTGGCCACTTAAGCATGACCCAAACCTACTAATGCTCCAAGGTTATCAAAACACTAGAATTACTTGAGTAGCTTTAGAAAAAGACATTAAAACTCAAAACACTTTAGCTACAAGAGGGTG